CCTAGCAGTCAACTGATGCATAATATCATATTTCTCCAAGAAATCATCATATACAATATATTCAATACCCCTATCAGTTCTCAAAATTTTAAGAGTATACCCACTTGCTTCTGAACGTAGAATAAAAACTTCTTGAAAACATAACAAGCATCAGATTTATACTTCAAAAAAAAAAATTAAACCCGATCTTCCTACTAATGTCATCAATGAAAGTGATAAAATACCTGCTACCACCAATGGAAGGAACCTCCACAGAGCATAAGTCCGAATGAACAAGTTCAAGTGGTATGGATGCTCTCCAAGCCCACCCTTTAGGAAATACTTCCCTATGCTTTTTTCCCAAAACACATTCACTAATTAATGAGAAATTGCCACTTCATTAATATGTAAAGTTAGAATTTTAAAAGCCCTTATAAGTACTTCCTCAGTCCCTAATTAGATATCCACTCTTGGTCAACAAATACTAAACTTTGACCATTATTTATAAAAAATATATAAAGTAAAATAATTTTTAAAAATAATACTTATAAACTTTAAATTATAAACTTTTCAGCATATATTTTTTAAAAATTAAATTTTACATATTTTTTTTATAAACAATAGTTAAAGTTTAGTGCTAATTGACCAAGAGTGGACATTTAAATGGGGACGGAGGGAGTAAATAAATACAGTTTTCTTACATCTTCTACTCCTCTTCCTTCATAATGTTTAGGTTTAACCCACCATCTCCACCTTCACACACCCTAACCAAATCCAAATATGCATAATGTTTAGGTTTAACCCACCATCTCCGCCTTCACGCAACCTAACCAAATCCGAATATGCAAGTTCATTGTTCTTATAGCTTCCAAATAAATTTCACAAATTTGCAAAGTAATTCAATCCCTTCAAGTGATTTGGAGTTCCAATGATATTGGTCAGCACATGTGAACAAACTTACAAGATTTTTATTTATAATTTATGATACTAAATTTAACAGATACTAAATTTAGCAGTTTTTCATTTTCCTTTCTCTTGTGGTCATCTGCTTTGAATATGCATTATATTTTTGGCCAAAAAAATGTATTATTGGGTCTCTTTGCTTTGTTGTCCGTTAATCCACCTAAAATAAATTAAATTTGGATTTCTTTTCTGTATTTTAGAGAAAAAGCTTTTAACTAAATGTAAGGACATCCTTATTTCGGATGTTGTCAATCAAACAGAGGAAATTTAGGTTGTTCTTACTTTTTTCTTTATTTAGAATTTTAGATCATCAGATACTAGCAAATGAATGAAATTTGGGCTTTTCTTTTGTTAGAGTTAGATCTTCTTGACAATTACAAATTAGTTATATTTGTGTTAATAAAAAATAAGGAAGTGCAATAGCAATGGAATAAAAAAATTTCTTTTTTTGTGGATAAGTAATAAAAAATCAATTTACTAATTATTTTTTAATTAAATAATTGGAAAGTCATGTGTATTTATTTTCAAGGGCACATAATTAATCATCATCAAGCATAAAAAAACATATAATCTATAATGTAATTAAAGCACTCCTAACAATAATTTTTTCCATTTGTCACGATACTCGCTTTCAAGACTTTACTTAAGTAGAATAAGTGTCGAACCACTTGAACCAACTAATTGTTAGTAGTATCACACACTTTTCAACATTCATAATAATAAACTTAATAAGTAATGATGACTTATTTCTAAAAAAATAAGGAGGATTTCTGTGCACAAATTATCATATAAATAAAAATAATTTAAAAAATGCAAAAAAAAAAAAACAGACGTGTTGTAATGGACACCCTCAATGAGTTTTATTTTACCTAAATTTAATAATATGTATAGATTTACTTATAATAATTTTGAAAATCATTTAGAAAAAATTAATCTTTTCAAAAATTACAATTAAATTTTATGGTCGTACTTAAATCTAATCATTTTATGTAATTTAAAATAATTTTCAACAAAATTTTCAGTCCCACGTGTGAAGCACGTCCTTAATTCCAGAATTTATGGATAAAAGACTAATAAGCTTTTCAATAATTATCACATATAAAACTTTTTTTTCTCATATAAGTTTAACAAGTTAAATTTCTATACCCACATACATAGCATGTGGACGTATAGATTTTTTGTGATTAAGTATTGTAAATTTAATAAAATTCATTATTTATGAAATCGTTACTATACTGAATTTGTTGGTAACTATATAGGTTTTTAATAAACTACATGGATTTTTTTTAGTACAAAGTATGGTGAAGTTGATAACCTTCATATTATATGAAATAATTAAAAAAGATACTTTTAATTGAAGGTTAATGGATTTATTAGTAGATGTATATCCTTTTTTATTACCTACAAAGCTTTTCTAGAAATTGGATATTGTAAAATTGTTATAAATATTTTAATAAAGCATGGTTACATAATTGTTGGTGAATTTATTCTTATATCCTTCAATGAAATTCTTCAAAAAAATTTCAATAGTCAAGTATTGTAAATTTGATAAAGTTGTTACCAAATTACTGAAAATTAAAAACTACTAAATATGTTAGTATATATATATATAAAAGGTTTTAGGTAAACTGTATAATCTCTTTTAGGAAGTTCATAAGCACTAGCCTTTTTTTAGTAACCTTATAAAATTTTTTAACACCTTTTGTAATATTTTTAATTGACCTTATAAAATGTTTTTTTTATATGACCTTATACGATTTTTTAGTAGGTTAGTAGTTTTTTTTTAAAATAATTATAAGTTTTTGAACGGCTTAATGTCCAAATTCCCCCTGAATTTGCACAAAAAAGACAATTTCCCTTAATTTTTTTCGATGTTACAAAAGAAAAAGAGAAAAATGACCCCCCTACCGTCAACAAAACCGTTATCTCATGCTTTCACTTTTGTAAGATAAACGGTTGGTAGATAACGATTTTGTTGACGGCAGGACAATCAGGGAAGAAAAAAAATGCTTAGAGGGAAAATTGTCCTTTTTGTGCCAGTTCAGCGTAGAATTTGGGCATTTAGTCATTTTTGAACTAGCCTGATAATTTTTTATAATAATCTTTTGGACTACTTATTAACTTTTTAATTAATCTTATAAGATTTTTTTGTTAAGCTTAGTGTAATTTTAGTAACTTATAAGATTTCTTTAATAAGTCTTATAAGATTTTAAATAATATTTTAAGATTTTAGTAGCTTTTTTATTAAGCTTATAAGAATTTGTTTTGGTATGTATAGTAGTTTTTTTAGTAAGCATATAAGTTTTTATAATAACCTTTAAAGATGTTTTAGCAACTTAATTTATAAGTTATTTTAACAATCTCTTAAAATTTTTAATAGCCTTCTTGCCTACCTTATAAATTTCTTTTCATAACTTTAGAAAATTATTGAGTAACTCTTTTAGTAAACCTACATGCTTTTTTATTAACTTTATATGCATCCATTAGCTAAACCCAATTACTTATAATTAATAGTTATTGAATTTGTTGGAACACATGTAGTTTCTTTGATACTCCATTAAAATTACTTATAAATTCATAAACGTATAATCTTTTTGATAAGTATTGTAAATTTAATAAAATTCATTATTTATGAAATTGTTACCATATACTTAGTAATAAAAGTAGGTAATTCAATTTGTTGGTAAATATATAGTTCTTTGATAAACTACATAGATATTTTTAGTACAAAGTATGGTAAACTTAATAACCTTCATATTATATGAAATAATTTTAAAAAATACTTCTAATTAAAGGTTAATGGATTTGTTAGTTAAATTTTTTCTTACCTATAAATCTTTTCCGAAAATTGGGTATTGTAAAATTGGTAACCTCATTATTGAATAAGTGATTGTAAATATTTTTATAAAGCATGGTTACATAATTTGTTGGTAAATGTAAAATGTTTCGTATATCCTTCAAAGCATTTTCAGTAATCAAGTTTTGTAAATTGGATAAGTTGTTACCAAATTACTGAAAATGAAAGGTTACTAAATTTAAAGGCGAACATATAAGGTTTTAAGTAAACTATATTTAAAGGCAAACATATAAGGTTTTAAGTAAACTATATAAGTGGGCAAGTTATGCTCTCTCCTCTCTCTACTTCGCACTCTCCTGCCTCTCTTCTAAATTCCGATCAACTCTCGGGCCAAGAAGTCGATCTTCTTGAGCGAAGCAACAAGCGCATCAAGGAAAATTCCTCTACTATGGATGTTTGCTCTCAAGATTCCCCCTTTGTTGACAAGAGTAATCTCCCTCATGCCTCCTATAGAGACATGCTGATCCAACAGCAAGAAGGACTCCATTTTTGCTTCAATACCGATCCCAATTTTGCGGATGAGGACTCAGACGTGGAGGAAGACCACGATGATGACATCCCCACCATCCTTCTCTCCAGAGAAGAAAAGAAATGCATCAGAGCTCCTTGGATTAACTCTATCATTGTCAAAACCTTTGGTAAAAGCGTCGGCTATAATTTTCTCCTCCCTAGAGTCAAAGCCCAGTGGAAACCAAGGGGGAATATGGACTGTATTGATCTCGGTCGCGACTTCTTCCTCTTTAGATTCCACTCCAAAGAAGACTTCAACAGGATCTTCTTTGGGGGGCCTTGGTTTGTTGGCCCCTACTTCCTATCCATGAGACGCTGGGAACCTTCTTTTTTCCCTGAAAAGGCCGCCTTTGCGACTACTGCGGTATGGGCGAGACTGCAGGGACTACCAATTGAATTATTCGACAAAAATACCATTCGACGGATCGGAAATCAATTGGGAGTCCTGCTGCGAGTTGATACCAATACTGCTAGCAGTTCTAGGGGACGCTATGCCCGCATCTGCATCCAAGTTGACCTGGATAAACCTTTGATCCCCAAAATCCGAATTGGGAGTCATGTTATACAAGTTCTTTACGAAAACATTGTCGACCTATGTTCTAAATGCGGATGTATAGGTCACAATTCTAACGCTTGCCCTTCTCTTAATGTAGGTCAACAGGACTCGACTTCTAATTCCCCCACTGAGACTATGGATGTTGAAAATCGGAAAAACTTTTCACCGGATAACGCCGAATATGGCCCCTGGATGGTTGTCTCACGGCGGAGGCCGCCAAAATCCCAAGGCACATCAACGGTCGAAAAAGGAGACAACTCAAAATCCAAGCCCATTCCTCCAAAGCTGGGCCACAACGGTCATCAGGAGCCCAACAAGAAAAAGTCTAAACTCAAAGACCAAACCAATTCTCTCAATCAGGTCATTCATGCCCAAGCCCCTCCTAATAGCCGTTACTCTAAGCTTAACGGCGTTGTGGATGAAAAATCTTCCCCTCCCCAGAAAGAATCTAATTGCCATCACCCTGCTAAAAAGAGCTCGGAGCTCAAGACCCCTCCTATCAGTCTTGATTTGACCCAGTGCAATTCTTTGTCCAACAGTCACGAACCGATAAGTTATCAGGTTCCCATGGTCACCATGGTATCTGAAGGCACCCACACCCAATCAAACCAAATTCCAAAAACCCAACCTGTTAATGTCAAAGGTCTTCCTTCCGCCCCCACCCCCAAGCCTAATGGACGACCTCCTCTTTTACTTCAAGCTCTCGGACAAGATCATCTCCATGAAAGAGGCAGTGAACATCCTCCTGGAACAGAACCCCTCTCACCAAGAGAACATCAGTTTTCCCCTCTCTCTGGCTTGGAGAAGCATGATAGCAGCCCCTCCAGGAGTAGATCCGGAACAATTTCTCCACCTCCTTCAAGACCAAATGGTTCACGAACCGAGGAATCCACCACTGAACGAGGAAGTGAAAGATCAAATGTTGAAGTAGCTCGTTCTTCAAGAGTTCGTAGAGGCAAAGCAGAGCGTGTTGACAGAAGTCGAAGCCCCCTCCGATTCTCCTTGGGAGATCACCAAACTGAGAAGAGTCATCTTCAACAGCGAGATCCCGTTTCACAAGACCATTCTGATACCCAGGTTTGTGAGGGAGACGAGCGTTATCGCTCAATTTTACAAAGAGCTCGATAGCCCTCTGATGGAACACAATCTTGTGGTCATGCCGAGCTACCACCCGGAAGCAAACATGCTATGGAAGACAAAGGAGGGGCATGTTTTAGCAATCCCTGAGTTGGCCAAATGGTGGCTAGGTGAAAAAAATCCAACCCTTATGGATATGAAAATCTTAGTGTGGAACTGCAGAGGTGCAGTTAGTAACGAGTTTAAACAGGCATTTTTTGATCTGGTCAGAACTCACAATCCCTCCATTTGTATTCTCGCCGAAACAAAAATTTTTGGTGATCAAGCTGAGCGCATCAGTAGTTCCCTGGGTTTCGATGGCAGGCATATCATCAACGCCCGTGGTTTCTCGAGTGGACTTTGGATGCTTTGGGACACTGCTTCAGTCTCACTTGACATTCTCCCCCATGGAGATCAAGCTATCCATGCAATTGCTAAGGTACATAATAATTCCCCTGTTTCTCCCTCTTGGCTTTTATCTAGTATTTATGCTAATCCTAATTTACAGCAAAGAAAACTTTTATGGGATGAACTTGTTACTGTTAGTTCTAATTATACTGGCCCTTGGGCCATCATGGGGGACTTTAACGATGTTCTCTTTGATTTTGAGAAACTTGGGGGTAATGGCATCAACAACTATAGAGCTAGACTCTATAAGGAGTGTATGGATTCCTGTAGCATGATGGACCTTGGTTTTTCTGGTCCAAGATTTACTTGGGCTAATAATTGGAGCAATGGTCCTTTGATCATGGAAAGATTAGACAGAGCTTGGGCCAACCCTGACTGGAGAATCCTCTTTCCAGAGGCCTTTGTCCATCACTTAACCAGAATTTACTCTGATCATAACCCCCTCCTTCTCAATCTTAATCCTGGCTCTTCTATTATAGGAGAGAAACCTTTCCGTTTTGAATCCTTCTGGCTTTCTCACCCTGATTTTATGCCTTTTGTCGAAAGTATTTGGTCTCAACCCCCTGGTGATCTTGCGGGTAAGACAGCCAATTTCAAATTTGCTATCAACACCTGGAACAGGGAAGTTTTTGGCAACATCTTCTGGAAAAAGAAAAAAACTCCAAGCCAGGATTGATGGCACCCAAAGGGCTTTAGCTTCTAGTCCAAATGCTTTCCTTCTCCAACTCCTAAAATATCTTCAAGTGGAGTACCGGACTATCCTCCAACAAGAAGCTGAGCTATGGAGATTAAAGTCTAGATGCGATTGGGTTGTCGATGGAGATAAAAACACCAGGTTCTTCCATGCTACCACCCTCAACCGTCGTAGAAGAAACAAGATTCTTTCCATTAAAGATTCTGTTGGCAATTGGTTTCATGACAAAAGAGATGTCCATCATATTATCTGCTCCCACTTCAAGTATCTTTTCACCACTTCTCTTGACTCCTCCCCCTTCAAGAGTTCTAGTTCTTGGCCTTCCTCCACTCCTCAGATCCCTCCTGACTCTCTGGACGATCTTGCCAAAATCCCTTCTATTTCTGAGATTCGTAAAGCCCTGTATTCCATGAAGCCTTTCAAAGCTCCAGGCCCCGATGGCCTCCACCCTGGCTTTTACCAAAAGTGCTGGAATATCATCAAAATTGCCTTTTGCCAAGACGTTCAAACTGTTTTTGCCAGAAATAAAGTTCCCCCCCCCCAATGGAATGAATGTCTCCTTGCTCTCATTCCTAAAGTAGAGGCCCCAAATGTGGTGTCTCATTATAGACCTATAGGTTTATGCAACACTCCTTATAAGGTTGTCACTAAGATCATTGTCAATAGACTCAGACCTTTTCTTAACAACATCATTAGCCCCTTTCAAGCTAGCTTCATCCCTACCAGAAAAGGTTCTGATAATGCTATCATTCTACAGGAAGTTGTTCATGACTTTAGTAGAAAGAAGGGAAAAACGGGTTATATGATTCTAAAAATTGATTTAGAGAAAGCATATGACAGATTGGAATGGAACTTCATCCGAGAGACTCTTCTTGCTTTCAACTTTCCTAAAGGCTTGATTAATCTAATTATGAATTGTGTATCTTCCTCTTCTATGAGTGTCCTGATTAATGGTGGGATAAGTGAAAGTTTTGAGCCTTCTAGAGGCATCAGGCAAGGTGATCCCCTCTCTCCCTACTTATTCATTTTATGCATGGAGTACCTTGCCCAAATCATCTCCCAAAAGGTTGAGGACAGATCTTGGAAAGCTTTTAAATTCACGAGAAGAGGCCCCCGTCTTTCTCACCTCTTCTTTGCGGACGACCTCATCCTTCTCGCCACTGCTACCACTGATAACTGTCAGGTTATCAATGAGGTCCTCTCCCACTTCTGTGAATGTTCTGGGCAAAAGATTAACCTTCAGAAGTCTAAAGTCTTCTTCTCCAAAAATACTCCTGTCGATGTTAGGCAAAACATCTCTACCTCTATTAATATCCCTGTAACGGATAGCATTGACAAGTATCTTGGTTTTCCCATCCTGGATAAGAAACCCAAGAAAGCTCACTGCAAACTCATTGTTGATAAGATCAACGCCAAGCTGGCTGGCTGGAAGGCCAAACTTCTCAGCCCTGCTGATAGAAAGGTCCTTATCAGTTCCAGCCTTACTGCCACTGCTAGCTATTATATGCAAGGTATGCTCCTGCCAGCCTCCTCTCTTAATGCTATTGACAGAGCCTGTCGTAACTTTTTATGGGGAAGCTCGGATAATAACAAAAAGATGCATAATGTCAAGTGGGAGTTGGTTACCTGCCACAAACAATGTGGGGGTCTTGGTCTTAAAGCTGTTAGAAATCTCAATGAAGCATTCATGGCTAAACTAGGATGGGTTGTTCTGAAAAAAGATTCTGCCTTGTGGTGTCAACTCCTCAGAACCAAGTACATCGACCAACCTAGATCTTCGGCCTCACACTCTTCTATCTGGAAAGCTATTAATAAAAGCTGCTTCATTCTCCAACATGGTTCCAAATGGAATGTCAATAATGGTCTCAAAGCTCGTTTTTGGGAAGACAACTAGACGGGCCACGGACCTCTCAGGGACTTCTTCTATGGTCCTCTTCCTGTCCATGAGATTAACATGCCGGTTGCTCAGGTTCTTTCCAATGATGGGGATTGGGTTCTCTCCTCTATCTCCTTTAATCTCCCTGACTTTCTTTCTAATTCCATTCTTGCCATTCCCATATCCAAATTCAACAATAGTGAAGATACCCTCTCTTGGAATAATTCAAAAGATGGTAATTTCACTATTGCTCAAGCTTATGATATTTCTAAAGGCAATCCTCAACCTTGCCCTGCTGACTGGAGTTGGATCTGGAAAACCCCTGTTTTTCCCAAGGTGCAGCACTTTCTTTGGCTTGCTCATCATGGTAAACTGATGACTAAGGCCAGACTTTTTCATCCGGGCATCTCCTTATCTGACATTTGCCCTGTGTGTAATCAAGTCACCGAGACTTCTGATCACATCTTCAGAGATTGTGAGTTTATTTCCCAGTTTTGGGATCGATTTTCTCCTATCAAACCTGGTGATTCCAACCCCAGACTCTGTTTCAAAGATTGGATTAGGGACAACTGTTCTAATTCTACACCTTCTGGCTTCCATAATATTCCTTGGAATATTATTTTTCCCCTTGTTCTTTGGGACATTTGGAAAAATAGAAATAAGAGGATCTTTGAACCTGATTCTGTCCTCACTCTTTCGATTGATCACATCCTCCATTCTGCTGTTGAAATTTTTGCTGCTAGGAAGGTCACCTCCCCTAGTAGACAGAACTCTCATACAATCTTCATCAAATGGGAACCTCCCCCTGAGGGTGTGTTTAAGCTCAACACTGATGGTGCTTCTCGTGGGAATCTTGGTCCCTCGGGAGCGGCTGGTATTTTGAGAAATCACCGTGGTAGCTTCTTAGCTGCTTACTCACGGAAACTTGGCAATGCTACAAGCCTTTTAGCTGAATTGTGGGCTGTTAGAGATGGTCTTGAGGTGGCCAATAATCTGGGTTTCAAAGACAATATCATTATTGAAACTGATTCCCAAATTGCTGCCCACCTCATCACCAATGACTCCTCTTCCTCTCATACTTACAACGCTATTATTCATGATTGCAGATGGCTCGTGGCGAAGCTGGGAGTTCTGGCAGTCAGGCACGTGATGCGTGAAGGAAATACTTGTGCTGATAAGCTGGCGAAAGAGGCCATTGATCAACATGATCGCTTTTTGTTATTTGCCAAAATGCCTTCTTCTATTTCGGATGCTTGTTTTTCTGATTTCAGGGGCGTGTCTTTCCCCAGACTTGTTAGGACTAATTGTACTGTCTCTAATTTTGTTGGGCTTAATGCCTCTGATGCTGTTGGGTTTAATGCCCCTGATGCAACTGGGCTTAATGCTCAGCATGTTGTGAACTCGTTCTAAGTTTTCAATTTATTCGGTCTTTTTGAATAAAAAAAAAGTAAACTATATAAGCTTTTTTAGAAACCCCATAAGCATTTTAGTAATCTTATAAGCCTTATCTTTTTAGTAACCTTATAAAAAGTTTTAACATCTTTTGAAGCTTTTTAATTGACCTTCAAAGATTTTTTTTCTTGGATAAATGACCTTATAAGATTTCTTTTTAGTAAACTTAATTAGTAGTTTTTTTTTTTTTTTACTTTATAAGTTTTTGAAGTAGCCCTATAATTTTAATAATAATCTTTTGAACTTCTTAATTAATCTTATAAGATGTTTTTTTTTATTAAGCTTAGTGTATTTTTTGTAACGTATAAGATTTCTTTAATAACTCTTATAAGATTTTTAAATAATCATTTGAATTTTTAGTGAAATTTTCACTAATCCAATGTTATTCTTCAATAAAGCATTTCAATCAAGTATTCAATTGGCTAAATTGAATCTTAGTTTTTATCTTAACATAGGGATAAAGAGTACTACATGTTTATTTCTCATAAATTTGGAATAAAGCCAATAATTATTTAGATTCGAAAAAAGAATTTTTTTTGAACTGCTAATATGTTTGCTTATAATCCAAAATTCTGATAGTTAATATCAAGTTGAAGTTTCATATTTTTTTCAAATAATAGTCAAGTTTTGTACAAGTTCCGGGCATGATAATTAGGAAAGATCAAACCAATTTCAATCGCACTCTTTCAGTAACCGAGTATTGTAAATTTGATAACATCAATTATTGATTAAATTGTTACCAAAATTACTTATAATGATATGTTACTGGATTTGTTGGGTAAATATAAAGTTTTCTTTTTCATAACTAAATAGCTTTTTTCTATAACTGTGTATTATAATTTTGATAGCCTCCATTGTTATGAACCTGATACCTAATTAATCAACAATGAAAATTTATTGAATTTTCTGGTTCACGTACAATGATTTTGATAAAATATATAACTTTTAGTAACTAGCTATTGTAAATTTAGTTAACAACATTGCTCATAATGAAATTGATAAATTTATTCTCAATAATTTTTAAGAATTTAGACAAATTTAATATTTTTAAAATTAACAATTATATATTACTATATAACTTAAAATGAGTTTCAACTAAAATTTTAATCCCACGTGTGAAACACGTGGCAAATAGACCTGCTGAAGGGCCCGGGGTACCCGCCGGCCCGAAGGCCCGGCCGAAAAATGGGAGGGTTTGGCAAAAATTTAAGACCCGAAAGTCGGGCCCTGGAAAAAAAAAACGAGAGGCCTGTTTCAAACGGGCCGGGCCTTGGTGACCTGTCAAAAGCCCGAGGCCTAGCCCGGCCCGTATTGTAGTATATATTATTTTATAATATTTAATAACTTTATTAGTTATATATATAAACATATAAAATATAACTTTACAATACATATTATATTATATAACATATATTTTTTAAAAAATATGGCTAGTAAAAAATTTACCATGTTCATTTTTTTAAAAGTTTGATATGTAATTGATTTTTTTATTATCACTTAAGAAAAAAATTAAAAAAAAACGGGTGGGCCTGTGTGGGTCTTGGACATGAGAATATAAATATGGGCGGCCTTTGGTCAAATGACCAAGTCCGAATGTCGGGCCGGGCCAGTCCCGGACTTGCAAGATTTATGTAATTATATAGTAAAAACCCGGCCCGAACTCGGCTCATGAGTAGGTCTACAAAATACCAGATTAAATAAAGTAACGACCAAAAGAAATCATTACATGAACAAATCCATCAATGTACGTCAATCATAGTATTTATCTATACTATATATAAAAGTACGAATAAGGGAAACTTTATGTTTTCCGATTGTACCTTTTTTTCTAATATATTTTTAGATTGCCATTATTAAATAATATTTTAATCATTTAATCATTTTAATAATGGAAATTTAGATTATCCTCATTAGTTAGGATCCAATGGCCAATAGGGATGTCCCACATCATCTTTAGCATCTGAATTTTCGTCTAAAACATTCTCCAAGTCGGTTTAGGAAAAAATCAATTTTGTCCAGAAATTTCAAGGGCAAAATCATCCACAAAAACGACAGAATTAGGTCTCTAGATAAACATAAAAGTTGTAGATCTCGGAATCCTCTTTCCAACGGTACCTCATTTGCATTTTATCTGAGCTCCGGATCAAAAGTTATGAATTTTCTTCCAAAACTGCTCTTGTGAAGTTCTCCTTTAAATAAGATTTAACAATGCTGCATCAGGGCTGAATCATTACTGCATCATAATTACTGATTAGACTTAGACTCCTTCTTTGGGATTCCATATTAACGAATTGAGTTTAAGAATATCAGATTTAGACTTCAAGACATCTGACTTGGTAATTTGGACTTCATGGACTTAAATGAGCATAATGGGCCTATTGGGTCGAAATGAGACAAAATCAATAGTTTCTCCAAATCTATCTATACTATATATAAAAGTACGAATAATGAAAAACTTTATGTTTTCCGATTGTACACTTTTTTCAAATATATTTCTAAATTGACATTATTAAAATTTCTTATTTAAAAATTAATTATAAAATTTCAATTTAGACCGAATTATAAGTTTGTAAAATTGATTTTCATTAATGAACATGCAAATTTCTACTAATAATGGGAAACTTTATGTTTTCCGATTGTACCTTTTTTCTTCAATTATATTTCTAAATTTTTATTATTAAAATTTAGTATAATTTTATATTTAAAAATTTCAATTTAGACCGAAATATAAGTTTGTCAAATTGGTTTTCGTTGATGAACATGCAAATTTCCTTTACTATTATTTTTTGAATTTAATATTTTACTTTTAATTTCAATTTTTTAAATGTCAATAAAAAGATTAAACTAACACTAACACGTACAATACTATTGTTAGTGAAACTCCATCTCTTCGTTATATAATGTTTTGCCGCATTCACTTTGTTTAATTGGAAATTGTTGAGTTAGAAGAGTAGGTGATATTATGATTTTGATTTTCTTGTCTCTGTGTGGTTATCAAAATTTCATAAGATGGTTATTATAATTTCATGAGGAGGTTATCAAAATTCCATAGTGTGGTTATCAAAATTTCATATGGAAGTTATCAAAATTTCATGGGAAGGTTATCAAAATTTTATAGTGTGGTTACCAAAATTTCATAGGATCAGGTTATTAAAATTTTTTAGGAAGGTTATTGAAATTTCATAGTGTGGTTATCACAATTTTATAGAAAGGTTATCAAATAGATTATCAGAATATCATAGCGAGGTTATAAGAATTTTATAGTGTGGTTAACAAAATTTCATAAGGAGGTTACTAATATTTCATAGGAAGTTTATCAAAATTTCATAGTGTGGTTATTAAAATTTTTTAGTGTGGTTATCAAATTTTCATATGAAGGTTATAAAAGTCTTAATTTCATAAGGAGTACCAAAATTTGATAGAAGGTTATCAAATCTCATAGAGTGATTATCGAAATTTCATAGAGATCGAATTATCAAAATTTATAAGAAGATTATCAAAATTTCATAGTGTTGTTATCAAAATTTCAAAGCGAGGTTATCAAAATTATATAATGAAAATATCAAACTTTCATAGAGGGGTCAACAAAATTTTATAGATAGATTATCAAAATTTTATAAAGGTTATAAAATTTTCAAAATGTGATTGCCGAAATTTCATAGTGGTATTTATGGGGAAGTTATCAAAATTTCATAGTATGGTTACCAAATTAGGAAGGTTATTAAACTTTTACTATGGAGTAATCAAAATTTCATGGAGGATATCAAAATTTCATATGAAGGTTATCAAAATTTCATAGTTTAGTTTTCAAAATTTCATAAGAGGGTTATCAAAATTTCATAGTATGTAGATCAAAATTTCATAGGGAGATTAACAAAATTTCATAATGAGGTTATCAAAAAATCATAGAGAGGTTATCAAACTTTGTAGTTATCAAGATTTCATAAGGAGGTTATCAAAATTTTATAAGGAGGTTTATTAAAATTTTATAGCAAGGTTATCATAATTTCATAGTGTGATTATCAAAATTTCAGAGTGTGATTACTAACAATTCATATGGAGGTTTTAAAATTTTCATAACGTGGTTATCAATATATCATATGGAGGTAATCAACATCTCATAGTATTGGTTATCAAAATTTCATTCGGAAGTTATCAAAATTTCATAGTGAGGTCTTAAAAATTCCTTAGGGAGGTTAAAGTTTCAAAATTTCTTCAATAGTACAGTTATTAAAGTTTCATAGGAAGGTGTTGCGCCAAAAATCTCTTGCTAGAGTTTTCGCGGAGAATTCTTTATGACAGCGTAAGGGCGTGCCAGTCAATTTGCTGAAATTGACAAAGAGGTTGTAAAAACAAGATCTGGTGCGCGGAGCAGCAGATTAAAAGATCAGAACGATTGTGGGGACTGGATCAAAGTCACACCGGAGCATTTAAATCATTGGATCCACACGAACTGCTTCTCAAACTGGGCCTTCCTCTTTTTTGGATCAGATCTGAGAGATCTGCTTTGATTGTAATTGAAATTGAAAAGAAAATAACAAACTGATCTGTTATTTCTGAATGAAGAACACGTGTACAGTGTTTGTATGTCCGGAGACAAGATTGAAACAAGAGAAAAACACTAAAAGAGTGTTTGTTTGTCCGAAGACAAGATCTAAACAAGGAAAATATGAAGAACGAGTGAAGAACTCGTGATGAATGGGGTGAAAATGGCGCAGAGCCAGAGAGAAAATAAGCACGGAGCTTGTTTTTTTTCGCGGAGCAAGTTTGTAGCTGCAGGAGCTGGTTTTTGATTTCTCGGGAGAAATGTCTGAGATGCGGAATCTGCCTGAAACCTGAGAATGGCCTCCCTTTATATAGGGGACGGTTTGGGCTTGAGCATTTAATGCCATTGCCTTGCTGAGAAAGGCAAAATCTTCTCCTATGCAGATGACAGCTTTCAGGAAAGTGCAGTGAAG